AAACAACAACAAAGGTTGAGTATCACGTCGCTCTAGCAACTGGAATAAAATGGTCAAACTCGTGACTAGACTCCGGCCATGGCTCCCTGAAAAATTGCCGAGCTTTTCTCCATTTTCTGTAGCATAATATTTTCCAAATGAACAGCTTGCTAGGCAGGGAAGTCTGCCCTTCTCTTTGGAATGTACAGTCGTCATCAGTTGATTAGGCTGCCAAGGGTCGTGACGCGCCGCAACTGCGTCGCGACTCTTGGCCGCCCAATAAAGTGCCCGGATGACGACTGTGAGAAAAGCTAACTAACTGTGAATTTGTCAAAGGTAAGTGGCACTATAATAAACAGGGCGCACAAGGTCGATACGGTCAGCACGGAAGAACGTTCTGTTCCGGGGAACTCGTCCAAGAATGCACGTCCAGTGCCGTACAAAACAGGGAGTTTTCGCGGGTTTGTGACCGCTCAACTTCGCTTTTTCGTCATTTTCCTTTATATAGCATCCCTGGTACCATTTTTTAGCAAGTACCAAATTACCGTGCCTTATGCCTTGAATGGAGCTTTCAGAGCCTAACACGGAGTTAGCTATTCTTGAATATTTCAACTCACTTCCTCCCCGCGAACGTGAGATGCCGCACCCTTTCGACTCGTTGTTCGGGTTTTACAACACTTATAAGTACTCCTATTGCCATCATTATTACAAAGCCGACTCCAGCATAACCGTAGGTGGAGATCCTGAATTTAATGTCTATTGCTGACTCAGAACACTTAGAAAACAATAGTGAAGTTGGAGATGCGAAAGTGTACAACTATAAGATGCCTTCAAAATGATCAATATTCTAGAGGAAAAACAAAAAACGCTACCTTGAAATAAACATGGTGTTTGGGTCACCGTAGTGAGCATCGTACAGAGGTGGCCGTCTAAGAGTAAAATTACGTGAACCACATCCTGCGCTGCTGAAATTTTTGCGATTACATGAGTTTAGATTTCGGCTCTACGTTTGAGGATCGGCTGGGCAAAAACTTTGTACTTTTTCGTTCTAATAGGCGTCAACCTTTCTGTACCACCAACTCTTCTAGTTGAATGATGAGAATCATCCAGACAACAGCAGTGGTACAAAAGTAAATTCCTTCAACTGAAGAGGGACTTTGAACAAGGATGCAGGTGGGACGAGTTGGTACTCCTAATTGAAGTCGTGAAGTCATGGTGAATGGCCTCAGAGGCAGATCCCCACGCCCAACTAACCAACGTAAGACTTCATTACTGCCATACTGTAGTCCGGTCCGTGTTCTTAAAGACTGTCCAAGCTTCCCGCACAACCTTAAAGGCAAGTGGCACGATAAATTCCCAAGATGTATGTAGGACTAATACGCCTATCAGGACAGAATTCGGCGTCCCTGAGTAGGCGCTGCGTGGCGCCTTTTCCAAGAAGGGTACATTTATGGCGCCCTATCAAGCTGCAACGTACCGACCCCGACGAAGGGTCCAGCTTCCTACCAGTGTTTGCAAAATTTCCTACATTTTCCAGTTTGCACACAAAAATTTTCCGTCGAGGGGGAGGGGGGGTCATGGAGGTCATCAGAAACCAACCACTTTTCAACTATTTCAATTATCGGAAATGATAGTTGCATAGAACTTTGGCGACGCCACCAACTAGGGGGATATCGAGCCAATATTATTATTTTAATATACTGAAACGGGAAAAACCGCGAAAAGTCAACAATCGGGAGGAATTTTCCCCAAGGTGTCAAATTTTTTTCAAAGGCACATGCGATCCACCCCTCTCAAGACAACAACCAAATAGGACCCCTCCCTCCCTGCCCAGCGGCCTAGTATGACACCTAGTATGACACTCCCCATTTGTTTCACATAATGATGCCGTATGTACTTTGGCCGTATCTACAATCAGGGTACAGCATGGGGATGTGCGAAATGTCGGTGTGAGTACGACCCCCCCCCTTCGAATGGGGTCCAGGCACGACCCCCCCCTTTTCCACAAGAAAAAATCAACTATCAAAATAAATTTGTCTTACAAATACGACCCCCCCCTCCCCAGAGCAAAAGTACGACCCCCCATGGGTTTGACACAACGATGCTGTACCCTGTCTACAACAGCTGACATTGGCATGATGCCAGCGGAAACTGAGTATGAGTCGCGTAAACAAAGGCTTTATAACAAGTTTTCGACCGTTTTACTTCGCTTTTCGTCATTTTCCCCACTATATAGCACGACGCTTCCATTTGCGACCGAGTTCCAAATCATTTTGCCTTATGCCTTCAAAGCAGAGTGGAGGAATTCTTGTCAAAAAGTAGGCAAGTTGTCTTAGACAATTTCGTCCACAATACTAGCTCCAGATTGAGCTTCATGGAGGCTTTACACGTACTTGGGTAATTTACGGAATTTAGCGAGGTTTTAAACTTTCAGGACCAGATGCTTCAAGGAAACAAGTTGTCCGCTTCACGCAAACTTTTGATTTATCCGAAAGAGTTGACCTCACCTCGAATTTGTCGGAAGAAAGAGATTCCGATAAGGATCCTCGACATAATTTGCTATACAGATAATGACCATAACGATGTTAGATACGACAAATGACACTATGCAGCTCCAAAAACCTGATCGAGGAACGAACATGGCCAGCACAAATATCGCAACCATCGGGCCAGACATGGCACCCATTACATTGACGCAAACCTGTAAATGGAGTTGCTCCAAAAAACATGCCATTTGGTGGACCCAACTCCAAACAGTACCCGTAGAATCCCTCCCAGAGGTTCAGCTGCGAAAGCGAGAGCTGTTGATAAGATGCCACAAGTGACAACGATTGCCTGGAATAACCTCAGCTGTGGGCTTGGGTTAGTCAAGAACTCATCACGAATGTCCGCCAACCTTACCATGGAACTTTGAATGGAGACCTGGGTAGATCGATAGAATCTATAAGGTTATTTGGCGTCAGAGCGCGCCCAACGCTATTACCTGGACCGCTCGCTTTGATAAATAAGGAAATCCAACTTGTAATACCTTTTTTCTCTTAATAATGGCTACTAGCTGGAAACTGAGGACTTTCTCTACCTAAGAGGATCTGGAATATAAGGGAGGAGATGGTTTCACCTTTTATTTAGGCCGGGATAAGTGCAACTTAACTTAATAAGTCTTCTCTTTGTTTCTTTTGTTTTCAGTGTTCAATTCATATAACAATCAGTTTATACAGTCTTGAAACTTTCATACTGGCCAAACTGTTCAACTTCCATAACATTTATAGTTTCACAAGTCGAGTTTAAACAACGAAAAAAAGAAACAGAAACTTACCTAGGAATCGAAACACTAATTCTTTTATGTAACATCGGGAAGGAAGAAACTTCAAGTTCATGTATAAGCTCGAAGAATGAAAAAAGAAACAATAAGAAACTTACCCTAAATGAAGCCCTCTTGCTTTTTGCTCATTTCTATCCTGAATCGAAAAAGAAAATAGAAAGGAAAGCCATTGAGTTTCTCCTAATAGCACTTGGAGCGGTCCAAGTAATGGCGTTGGGGCGCGCTTTGACGCGTACCGACGATCGCCACTGCTGTCGCGAAGTATGAACGCCGCCTTACCATTGAACCACCGCGACTCGATTCGACGTATGCGATTCCTCGCTTATGCTTCACAGCTCACCACCAAGCCTCCACCCTACTGCACCATTACAAACTTTACCTGCTCATAAGTTGCTTGTGAAATGCAGGTTGCAGTTTTGCTATCTATATTTGTAAATAACCTTATAGACTCTATCGATCTACCCAGTCTCCATTCAAAGTTGGTAAGTTGGCGGACTTCCCTGGTCAGAAGTGAGTGCTGCTGTTTACTAGCTTTGGTATCTACAGAACAAGTGAAGAATTGGATAGTTTTTAATTTTAATTTTTAATTTTCTTCACCTTATTGATAAATGTGGCCTGATGATCGCTTATTTTGCCATCGAGTTTCTGTTTGAGGAAATCTTCATAGATTGCTGCAGCCATACTATTCATTCCGCTCGAGAGCGTTGATAGTGTGGCGGACATAATGCAGGATACGTATAGTCCAAATAACCCAGGGGTTGGCTCTGAATGATAATCGATGAATAAGTTGATTGGCCGAGAAACGACCAAAAATCCCGTGCGAAGCACGTTCTGAGGACTTGTTTTATTTATCAGTTCGCCAACATATTTTGAATGTTTTTAACAAGCAAGTTCTTTCAAAGACAAGTGGCACGATAAATCCCCAAGACCTGAATCATTATTACACCTAGCAGGACAGAATTCAGCGCCACCAGGCGCCTTTTCCAAGGAAAGTACCCCCTATAGCGCCCTATCAAGCTGCAACATACCGACCCGGACGCCCACCGCGCCCGCCGCCCACAAATGTCCGACCGATGCGATGCTCGCATCGCTTCATTTGCGAAGTACAGTATGGAGCGAACGGATTGCTTTGAAGCGACTCCAGTGCTTCACGCACATACAAGTACATGGATGATGCAGTCGTATCTACCGTAGCAGTTATTGGCACGATGCCAATGGTTCGTCTGAAATTGCTCTCTGAGTCGTGCAGAACAAAGGCACATACTTGACGTTTTACTTCGCTTTTTCGCCTTTTCCCCACTATATAACATCCTTGCTTCCATTTGACCGAGTACCGGACTGTTATGCCTCATACCTTCCAAGACATTCTCCACGCTCAAGCAATTCCTGGCTGCCCTTCCTTGTGGAGACGAGCAAAGGTATCCTGAACTACCGCTTTGTCGCGTGCGGCAATGGACGCGACGTTTCCTTGATTTGCACTACCCTTTCGATTGAAGCATCGGATTTCATGTAGACAAGGACATGGTAGACATTTATGTCTATTTTGGTCATACATTGTCTATTCTCGACCAATACCACCTAAATCGTCGTCATTGGCGGGCGCGACGTCACAATGGCGCAGCGGATTACGTTCTTTTGTCACATATTCCCTTCCTTGTACAATTGGTCTGGTCCTCAATCTCCAGAACTTTCCAGCTTTCCGACATCACAGAAGGCAACGAAAGCCCTGCAATCCTCATGAGTGGCATTCTGACGTCTCCCTACATAGTTGTCCCGTCCTACAAAAGTTGAAGGCTGTTTTCTGCCACGAGTTCATTTTTGCACCCTGTTTTTCGTATTTTTCTCATTCTTAGATGGTTGGATGGCGAAAAGAAAGATCGTGGAGCCACAGGGGTAGAATCTAGCTCTGCTCGCATAAAACTAGCGGAGAATTCGTGCATCGATGGTGAGACCGCGATGGGTACTTACTTGACGTGTTCTTCTGCATGACTTTTTGCTTTTTTTTCTTCTGGAGACTGCAGGTCTGTAAGCTCTATCCACAATACGCAATCGCAGGCGTGTCTTTTAGTAGCACTAGAGGAATGTTTCAGCCATCTGTTGTGGTCTGCTGGAATATTTCTTTGCCCACACAGTAGCGGCAATTTTCAGAAACCCATAGTGAAACATTCTACCAGAAATAAAGGAGGCCTTACTGTTCTTTTGAATCACCTCTCGGTTTCTTCAGCGACTTCTTCTTGCCACTTTCGTGCCTGTATCGTCAAATGGGTCGTGTCCCAGCGTAAACTGTCTTTCACAATCGCAGCTAGCAAAGCCTTCCTATGCTGGTGGAGAATCGCGACGTCGGAGTACGCGAGACTTCAGAGCACTAGAAAACTCTACCATCTTAGTTATACAGCTCCCATAACGCTGCCTTCATAGCGCCTAAAGAGACCTCCCTCATCACTGAAAATTCCCGTTCCAGATTGTTTACTCACCATCAGTTTATTTCTGTTAGTTTCGCCAAAAGCTAGAAAAAAGGCCACTGTTCAACTACTACTACCCCAAGAAGTCAGAAACTTTTTTCGCTGAAACTTTGCCCCAGAGGTAGTTCAGTGTCCTGGTCACGAATATAGCACTCGTTTTCGGCGCTGGCGCCAAATTGGCGCCAGTTTGGCGCCGCCACCTTTCCCACCAAATTGTAAATTTCTATAGTAGGGTTACTCAATGTCGTGATAATACCGCATTACCTTTCAGCCCTAGCTCCATTTGGCGCCACCTTTTTCATCAGAATCGATAGAAGCCCTCATAATAGGTTTTTTAGTTTTGATAACTGCTGTTTAACGCCGCAATGCGCGCTCGTTAAGTTATCACAAGAGTGCTGAGATATTGGATATATGAGTGCTGTAAGGCTATGGCACAAAATGCATTGAGCTGAGAAGGCAAAGGAGGCCCCGGTAGCGTAATGGATAACGCAACCGCCCGGTAAGTGGGAGGTGTGGGTTCACGTCCCGAGTCCGAATTTTGCCAACATTTCAGCATTCTTGTGATAACCTCGTAGTAGGCTTGTTTAATGCCCTGATCACGGTTCTGACATGTTTTTTTTCCAATTAGTTTTCCATTTTCCATTTAGTTCTCTTTTAAAGCTGAGCTTGGGAGAAGGAGTGATGGAGTGATTCCCTGTAGGCCAGGCTCAGCCTTAGCAGAGCGCAGATGATCGTAGTGTCTTCCATCAGCGCCAGCGCCAAAAATGAATGTGATATTTGTAATCAAGATGTCAAATAACCTCCGTATACAAGTTTTCAGCGATTTCGTGACTAGGGTATTTTGTAGGGCATTTTGACGCCGGCGCCTGTGGCTGCGGGCGCCAGCTGTTTCAGGCCAAGCGGATGTGATATTCGTGTTCAGGAGGTCAAACTACCCCTGGGACAAGTTTTCAGCGAATTCGGTGATTTAGGGTTTTTGGCGCCGGCGCCTGTGGCGCGGGCGCCAGGCACTTTCAGGCCAAGTGGATGTGATATTCGTGTTCAGGAGGTCGAATTACCCCTAGAACCCAACTTTCAGCCAAATCTGCCCCCGTAGAAAAAAGTCGATCAAAATCCGGCCTGTTTCGGAAAATTGGGGTAGTAATAGTTGAATAGTGCCAAAAAAACAAAATAGCGCCGAAAAAGAGAGAAAGCAAATGTACGACACAAACATACGTAAAATATCTCTTGCAAAAAGAATGGTGAGATGATCGGTCTCCGTGATTTCTCCCGTATCGACTGGATTACAATTGTAGAAATAGGCCTAGCGAGATGAATCCGACAAATGCCACAATTGAGCAGAGGACGATGAACGGTATGAGTGTGCAATAAATGATGTTCTGTAAATCTAGTAACCAGAATTCCTTTTGAAAACACACATTTCGAAGTGTTCGGATGCACGTAACCATGATATTCAAGGGGAATCACCTGTGCTTTACGCAGCGAAGGAAGGCTTGCGTATCTTTGAACTGCCAGCTGATTGACACCGAACGATGCTAACCATGTGATGGTCCCAGAAAATAAGTTAATCCAGATGCTGTTGTACTAAATATTCAGAGCGTTTCACTGTAATACTCCCTTTTGACTTTGCTGAGGAGAGCATTCTTTAGACTGCGTTTAGACTTCGCGACTCAAGTGATTCAATTCCGTGATTTTCAAATCACACGATTGTGACCGACCGCATAACCTCCTTGAACCGTCATGACGGCTTATTCGTGCATTTTCAGAGTAAAACTGCTTTTTGACCACTTGCAGCGGTCCAACAACCGGAGTACAAGCGAGGTATGCCGCAGTCGCGCGACTGAAACGTTTGGGTCGCGAAGTATGAACGCTGCCTCACAATCCAACAAATTGTGCGGTCGAGCAAGTGTTCCGAAACAGCGATCAATTATTGATCTCATCCTAAATCAGTTGCACCTAGTATCATGATAGGGCACATCGTTGTTGGGGGAAAGGGGGGGGGGTCGCCAGGAGAAGGGGGTCGTATTTGGGCCGGGAAAAATTTATTTTGATAGTTGATTTTTCTCGCTTCACGGACGTTGTAAAGGGGGGGGGGTCGTACTTGGTC